TCTAAATCGAAAAAGATAGACACTGCATGTTGTTTGTTTATGGTGGCATTTTTAACAAAAGTTTCCAAACGAACTAAATGGTCGATTGTACTTCTGTTTCTTACGGAAACCACATTGTATATGTGTTAGTAGATTGTTGGTTTCCAGGTACCAAACTAAGCGATTATTGATCATACGTTCCATAGTTTTGCAAACGCAGCTGGTCAATGAAATTGGTCGATAATTTGAAGGATCAGTATGATCACGACCAGATTTAGGTATTGGAACAATAATAGCTTCACGTCACGAAGAAGGAAATTCTCCTGAAATCCAGATGTCATCAAATATTGTTAAAAGGGTTTCTAGACATGATTGTGGTAAATGTTTGAGGAGTTGATAAGGTATATTATCCGATCCTGAAGCAATATCATGACCTTGCCAAAGAGCAGTATGGAGCTCAAGCATGGAGAAGATTTCATTATAATCTTCCCCATTATCTGATTTGAAATTAATAGATTTCTTTTCTTGCTGCTCTTGGTATGATTGGAATTTAGGGACATAATTCGACGAGGAAGAATGTTTAGACAGAGTTTCACCAAGTTTATTGGCAATATCTGTTTCTGTCAACAAGTCATCCTCATGTTTAAGATGGTGGATGCTAGTTTTCAAACCCTTACCTTTAATTCTTTTAATCATGTTCCATACTTTAGACAATGGAGTACGTGAGTTTATTTTAGAGACATATTTTTGCCAAGATTGGCGTTTGTTTTGTTGAAATATGCGCCTGGCTTTAGCATTCATAATCTTGAATTTATTTAGATTATGCACCATTGGATGGCGGCGGAAATAATGCTCGGCCTTTTTCCTGGCCTTCCTAGCTTGTTTGCAAGCATCTTTAAACCATTGTTTTCGTATGTGAGGAACCGCAGAGGACTTTGGAATACATTCATCAGCAATTTTCGTTAATACATCAGAAAAAAACATTTCATAGGATCAGGTGAGGTGAAATTCGGTTTAACGTCGCGTCCAAGATTATTGCACTTATATAGCGACGTGCATAGGATCAGGAACACCAATAAAAAGATTAGGTTTAAGTTTGTTGGTACAGAGAGTTCCATAGAAGGCCCAGTTAGTTTTATTAAAGTTCCATCTTGATGATAGAGGAACATCAGATGGGGTCACAGGCTTTAAAATAGTAGGGAAATGGTCACTTCCACAGAAGTCATTGTGGACTGACCATTCAAATTCATTCAGTATTTTTTAATCTGTAATTGACAAATCCAGAGAAGAGTAAGTACCTATTCCAGGATGTAGATAAGTGTCTAAACCGTCATTAAATATGCACAAATCGTTATCAGAAATGAAATCTTCTATGGTCTTTAAATAAACCCCCTCCCATTGAAACAGCTGATTTGACTAAAGCCTTGAAACCCTGGTAAACAACTTTTAAACAAGAATTGTATGACGGTCTTTAAAGTTTACATGCATGCTCTATCATACATCAAAGTTGTGAGAAACTGACGACCAAAAGAACGTCTTTCTCTTGGGTGTCTGATACGTTCTCCATAGGGGCGGTGGGTAATCCTAGTGGTTAAAGCGTTCGCTTGTTCTTCCGAATACCCCGGTTTGTTTCCCCACATGGGTACAATGAGTGAAGCCCAATTCTGGTGTCCCCCACCATGATATTGCTAGAATATTGCTAAAAGCGGCGTAAAACCATACTCACTCCGTAGTTGCTGTGACGTCATCGTTCAAATCAAAATTGGTTCTGGCAAGAGCTATCTTCATGTTTGGGATCCGATGGCAGTCTGACGGAGCCAGATCATGAGAATAAGGAGGGTGCTGAAGGAGTTGAAAGCCACATTCGTGTATTGCAGCCATGGCAATTACTGATTTGTGTACTACTGTCCTGATGGACGAACCCACCTTTTAAATGTTTGATAGGTTTTCGTCAAACAACAGTCCGAATATAATCATCATCTTTAAGACGGTAAGACCCGTGGTGTGCGTGAACTCGGGCAGTTCAATATTTAACAGAGATTAACAAATACAACTGACCCACACTATATGCATTAACAGTAGTAGTCAATGACGATAGCATACATTACGTACAGCACTGCAACACGGTGATGACGGTTGAATGATGGTTGGAGTCTTTTGATGTTGGTTACTTCTTGGAAATTTCTGATTTTATAGTTTTTGAGGCTGGTTGTTAGGGCTTTGACTTTGTCCAAACTGGGTGCTGTGGCTGGGGTTGTCATGGATATGGTCTGATAGAGCAGCTGACTTAGAAATTTCTGAGTTTTGATGTTCTTAAATTGGGGTTTTGAGAGGCATTGATGTTTCGCCCATGTGCGATTGTCCACAATTACACGGAATGTGGTTTACTGCTCCCACTGCTTGTTGCTGTTGGCTGTATGGTGGTTTTCCTCTGGCTTTAATAGTGTTCTGAATGATGTTATTCCTATTGAAAACTACATCAATGTTGGCTTGTTTCGTTATGAGTCTCAGGATTTCGTGGCGAGTAGTTCGAAAGTAGGAGGCTGATCACAAAGGGTGCAGACTGTTCACGGGGAGATTTCAGGGTTTTCCTGGTATTACTCTGTATTGTCTGTTGCACTTACTGTTCGGGCTAGTGTCTGTGAACTTGTTTGAGATGATTTAGTTCAGTGGTAAGATGCTGCTTGGTTGAACAGATGTCATGATCTCGTCTGGCTCTGGTTGAGATGCTTCCTTTCTTGACTTGATGTGGATGATTTGAGGCATAGTGAAGATACTGATCTGTGTAGGTTGGTTTGCAGTAAACAGTGCCCTGGAGCTTGTTGTTATTGTCTTTCTGTACAAGTACATCAGACAAGGGTAGTTGGCAATTCTTCCTCCATGGTGAAGTGCATATGTGATTGTTGGAAGTTGAAGTAATCCAGCAGGGTTCTGGGGTCATTGTTGGGATGAAGATGACAAAGGTGTCCTCTACGTTGCAGGACTATCAGAGGAGGGTCAATGGAATGTTACCAGGTGTTTTTCGTCTAGGTGGGTCATCAAGATGTCGGTGATTAAGGAGGGTTGTCGGGGACTTGGCTGTTTTTCCTAGAGGTGCGAGGAGGTGGCTTTGGGTGAGGCTGACATTGGTTGAGTAAGGCCTTGTGCTGTTTCTGTAGGCTGTTGGTAGAGTCTTTCTTGAGTTGCATGTTGGTGGATTGATTGAGGGTGCTGTCAGTTGAGGCTTTTGAGGTGGTATCTATGATGACAGTTGCCTTAGATGTCAGGTGCCACATGGCAGGGTGTCTCGCTACTGGATGTCAGGTGCCACATGGCAGGGTGTCTCGCTACTGGGTGTCAGGTGCTTCATGGCAGGGTGTCTCGCTACTGGACGTCAGGTGCCACATGGCAGGGTGTCTCGCTACTGGATGTCAGGTGCTTCATGGCAGGGTGTCTCGCTACTGGATGTCAGGTGCCACATGGCAGGGTGTCTCGCTACTGGATGTCAGGTGCCACATGGCAGGGTGTCTCGCTACTGGATGTCAGGAGCTTCATGGCAGGGTGTCTCGCTACTGGATGTCAGATGCCACCAACCACATTGCCTCACTACTGGATGTCATATTCCATGTGACACATTATACGGGAGTCCTGCAGGTGTAGTTGAAATGTACGTGATACACCTGCAGATGTAGTTGAAATGTACGTGATACACCTGCAGATGTAGTTGAAAAGAACGTGATACACTTCCAGATGTAGTTGAAATGTACGTGCTACACTCACAGGTGTAGTTGAAAAGAACGTGATACACTTCCAGGTGTAGTTGAAATGTACGTGCTACACTCACAGGTGTAGTTGAAATGAACGTGATACACCTGCAGATGTAGTTGAAATGTACGTGATACACCTGCAGATGTAGTTGAAAAGAACGTGATACACTTCCAGGTGTAGTTGAAATGTACGTGATACACCTGCAGATGTAGTTGAAAAGAACGTGATACACTTCCAGGTGTAGTTGAAATGTACGTGCTACACTCACAGGTGTAGTTGAAATGAACGTGATACACCTGCAGATGTAGTTGAAATGTACGTGATACACCTGTAGGTGAAGTTGAAATGTATGTGATACACTTCCAGGTGTAGTTGAAATGTACGTGATACACCTGCAGATGTAGTTGAAATGAACGTGATACACCTGCAGATGTAGTTGAAATGTACGTGATACACCTGCAGATGTAGTTGAAAAGAACGTGATACACTTCCAGGTGTAGTTGAAATGTACGTGCTATACTCACAGGTGTAGTTGAAATGAACGTGATACACCTGCAGATGTAGTTGAAATGTACGTGATACACCTGCAGATGTAGTTCAAAAGAACGTGATACACTTCCAGGTGTAGTTGAAATGTACGTGCTACACCTGCAGATGTAGTTGAAATGTACGTGATATACTCCGAAACGTTGTGTTCCTCATAATTCACGACTTTGACAAGCACGTCTCAGTTGTTGTTTCAGTCTCTGGTATCTGGGAGGCGGGATTTGATTCCTGTGGGAGACCTATTAAGATCTGGAGTAGAATAGGCCTTCGACAACCAATGTTTGCCGTAAATGGCGACTGTGCTTGTCGTAAGGCGACAAAAGGGATCGGGTGGTCAGGCTCGTTGATGTCGTTAATGTATGTCATCGTATCCTAACTGCGTGGATCGATGCTCATGATATGAATCACAGGATTGTCTGGTCCAGAAACGATTATTTACAGACTGCCGTCATATAGCTGGAAGATTGCTGAGTGCGGTGTTAAACAAAAACAAATGTAGTTGGGAAGCGAAACTGATTTTACGTAATTGTCGCAATATCTGGCAATAGCAAGGCAATGGGCACAAGAAATGTGGTTTACATGTGGGGACTCGAACCCGGGACACGGTGTGACGAGCGAGCGTGTTAGGTATTCGGCTACCCCACCAACGCTTAATCTGGTGTAACGTTCTAATCCATATAGCAGCGGTTGCGTCCCTGTCTTTAATGTACACATCCTGCATGTTTCAGCTTCATCTTCATCTGCACGTGCTGCCGAGGACGGGACATTGTCGAGATGAGTGGACAGAACACCAGCTACTCCGTCTTCCTGCAAACAACGGAACTCTTGACCAACGCTTCCGGTGCCCCTCTCGCAGACTCTGGCGTCAGCCTCACCGTCACAATCATCCTCGTCCTCATGTACACCCTCATCATTCTCGTCGCCGTCAGCGGGAACGTCGCCGTCTGCTACATCATCCTCTCCGACCACCGGATGAGAACAGTCACCAACCTGTTCCTCCTCACTCTGGCTCTCAGTGACATCATCAAGGCAGTGATCTGCAACCCGTTCTCTGTGTTCGCTAACCTCATGCTGTACTGGCCATTCGGGAGTGTCATGTGCCCCGTGTGGCAGTATCTTCAGGTGGTCGCCGTTTACGTCAGTTCTCTCACCCTTGTGGCCATGAGCCTTGACAGGTTCGTCGCCATTTTATTCCCTCTAAAGCCCCGGATGTCAAAAAGTCGTCTGCTGGTGATAATCGTGTCAATACTCTTCCTGTCCTGCGCACTGCCTTTACCAACAGCTGTCAAGTCGAAGGTGACGTACCCCAAACCCCAGTACCCAAATGACCCGTCGTCGAATGGGCTCTGTCTGGAGAAATGGGACAATGACTTCCATAAGTATGTGTACAGTATGGGTATCATGGTGACACAATACTTTCTACCCCTGTCAGTTCTCGCATTTACAAATGGGTGTATCGGCTATGTCGTGTGGCTTAAAAAGCCCCCAGGAGAAGCGGATTCTGGACGAGACAACAGATTGGCTGCATCGAAGAGACGGGTAGGTTGTCATAAAGGAATCCTACACATTTTATACATCTCTGCTGGGTACATGTGTGAACTTGTTGGGTCTGTATCCTCTGGGCATGTAGGATTCTGCCGACTGTTTATTGCACATGTAATGTTTAAGTGATACCATTCCCGCGAGTTGTGTATACGACTCTGTGCATTTACGTTATGGTGTTTCCCTCCCTCGCGCATAGCCTACGTTGTATCTAACTGATACTGTTCCTCTGCGGACTGTGTATAACCCGCGTTACATCAAACTGATACTGTCCCCTGCGAACTGTGTATAACCCACGTTGTATTTAAGTGATAGTGTTCACCTGCGGAGTGTGTATAACACACGTTGTATTTAAGTGAAAGTGTTCACCTGTCGACTGTTCTTAACCCACGTTGTATTTAAGTGAAAGTGTTCACCTGCGGACTGTGTATAACACACGTTGTATTTAAGTGGTAGTGTTCACCTGCGGAGTGTGTATAACACACGTTGTATTTAAGTGATAGTGTTCACCTGCGGAGTGTGTATAACACACGTTGTATTTAAGTGAAAGTGTTCACCTGTCGACTGTTCTTAACCCACGTTGTATTTAAGTGAAAGTGTTCACCTGCGGACTGTGTATAACACACGTTGTATTTAAGTGGTAGTGTTCACCTGCGGACTGTGTATAACACACGTTGTATTTAAGTGGTAGTGTTCACCTGCGGACTGTGTATAACACACGTTGTATTTAAGTGGTAGTGTTCACCTGCGGACTGTGTATAACACACGTTGTATTTAAGTGATAGTGTTCCCCTACGGAATGTGTGTAACACACGTTGTATTTAAGCGATGGTGTTCCCCTACGGACTGTGTATAACACACGTTGTATTTAAATGATAGTGTTCCCCAAAGGAATGTGTGTAACACACGTGGTATTTAAGCGATGGTGTTCACCTGCGGACTGTGTATAACACACGTTGTATTTAAGTGGTAGTGTTCACCTGCGGACTGTGTATAACCCACGTTGTATTTAAGCGATGGTGTTCACCTGCGGACTGTGTATAACCCACGTTGTATTTAAGTGATAGTGTTCACCTGCGGACTGTGTATAACACACGTTGTATTTAAGTGGTAGTGTTCACCTGCGGACTGTGTATAACACACGTTGTATTTAAATGATAGTGTTCCCCAAAGGAATGTGTGTAACACACGTTGTATTTAAGCGATGGTGTTCACCTGCGGACTATGTTTAACCCACGTTGTATTTAAGTGATAGTGTTCACCTGCGGACTGTGTATAACACACGTTGTATTTAAGTGATACTGTTCCCCTACGGACATTGTGTAACACACGTTGTATTTAAGTGATAGTTTTCCCCTGCAGACTGTGTATAACACACATTGTATTTAAGTGATAGTGTTCCCCTACGGAGAGTGTGTATTACACGTTGTATTTAAGTGATAGTGTTCCCCTATGGACAGTGTGTAACACACGTTGTATTTAAGTGATAGTGTTCCCCTGCGGACTGTGAATAACCCACGTTGTATTTTAGTGATAGTGTTCACCTGCGGACTGTGAATACCCTGCGTTGTATTTAAGTGGTAGTGTTCACCTGCGGACTGTGAATACCCCGCGTTGTATTTAAGTGATGGTGTTCCCCTACGGACAGTGTGTATTACACGTTGTATTTAAGAGATAGTGTTCCCCTATGGACAGTGTATAACACACGTTGTATTTAAGTGATGGTGTTCCCCTGCGGAATGTATGTAACAAACGTTGTTTTTAAGTGATAGTGTTCACCTGCGGACTGTGAATAACCCGCGTTGTATTTAAGTGGTAGTGTTCACCTGCGGACTGTGAATAACCCACGTTGTATTTAAGTGATAGTGTTCACCTGCGGACTGTGTGTAACAAACATTTTATTTAAGTGATGGTGTTCCCCTGCAGAATGTTTATAACACACGTTGTATTTACGTGATAGTGTCACCCTACGGACAGTGTGTATTACACGTTGTATTTCAGTGATAGTGTTCCCCTATGGACAGTGTGTAACACACGTTGTATTTAAGTGATGGTGTTCCCCTGCGGACTGTGTGTAACACACGTTTTATTTAAGTGATAGTGTTCCCCTATGGATAGTGTGTAACACACGTTGTATTTAAGTGATGGTGTTCCCCTGCGGACTGTGTGTAACAAACGTTGTATTTAAATGATAGTGTTCACCTGCGGAATGTGAATAACCCGCGTTGTATTCAAGTGGTAGTGTTCATCTGCGGACTGTAAATACCCCGCGTTGTATTTAAGTGATAGTGTTCACCTGCGGATTGTGAATAACCCACGTTGTATTTAAGTGATAGTTTTCAACTGCGGACTGTGAATAACCCGCGTTGTATTTAAGAGGTAGTGTTCACCTGCGGCCTGTGAATAACCCACGTTGTATTTAAGTGATGGTGTTCCCCTGCGAACTATGTTTAACCCACGTTGTATTTAAGTGATAGTGTTCCCCTGCTGACTGTGTGTAACACACGTTGTATTTAAGCAGCAATGTTCACCTGCGGACTGTGTATAACACACGTTGTATTTAAGTGATGGTGTTCCCCTGCAGACTGTGTGTAACACACGTTGTATTTAAGTGATGGTGTTCCCCTGCGGACTGTGTATAACACACGTTGTATTTAAATGATAGTGTTCCCCTACGGACAGTGTATAACACACGTTGTATTTAAGCGATGGTGTTCACTTGCGGACTGTGTATAACACACGTTGTATTCAAGTTATAGTGTTCACCTGCGGACTGTGAATAACCCGCGTTGTATTTAAGTGGTAGTGTTCACCTGCGGACTGTGAATAACCCACGTTGTATTTCAGTGATGGTGTTCCCCTGCGAACTATGTTTAACCAACGTTGTATTTAACTGATGGTGTTCACCTGCTGACTGTGTGTAACACACGTTGTATTTAAGTAGTAATGTTCACCTGCGGACTGTGTATAACCCACGTTGTATTTAAGTGATAGTGTTCACCTGCAGACTGTGTGTAACACTCGTACTATTTAAGTAGTAATGTTTACCTGCGGACTGTGTATAACACACGTTGTATTTAAGTGATGGTGTTCACCTGCGGACTGTGTGTAACACACGTTGTATTTAAGTGATGGTGTTCCCCTGCAGACTGTGTATAACACACGTTGTATTTAAGTGATAGTGTTCCCCTATGGATAGTGTGTAACACACGTTGTATTGAAGTGATGGTGTTCTCCTGCAGACTCTGTGTAACAAACGTTGTATTTAAATGATAGTGTTCACCTGCGGACTGTGAATAACCCGCGTTGTATTTAAGTGGTAGTGTTCACCTGCGGACTGTGAATACCCCGCGTTGTATTTAAGTGATAGTGTTCACCTGCGGATTGTGAATAACCCACGTTGTATTTAAGTGATAATGTTCAACTTCGGACTGTGAATAACCCGCGTTGTATTTAAGAGGTAGTGTTCACCTGCGGCCTGTGAATAACCCACGTTGTATTTAAGTGATAGTGTTCCCCTGCGAACTATGTTTAACCCACGTTGTATTTAAGTGATGTTGTTCCCCTGCGGACTGTGTATAACACACGTTGTATTTAAGTGATGGTGTTCCCCTGCTGACTGTGTGTAACACACGTTGTATTTAAGTGATGGTGTTCCCCTACGGAGAGTGTATAACACACGTTGTATTTAAGCGATGGTGTTCACTTGCGGACTGTGTATAACACACGTTGTATTCAAGTTATAGTGTTCACCTGCGGACTGTGAATAACCCGCGTTGTATTTAAGTGGTAGTGTTCACCTGGGGACTGTGAATAACCCACGTTGTATTTCAGTGATGGTGTTCCCCTGCGAACTATGTTTAACCAACGTTGTATTTAAGTGATGGTGTTCCCCTGCTGACTGTGTGTAACACACGTTGTATTTAAGTAGTAATGTTCACCTGCGGACTGTGTATAACACACGTTGTATTTAAGTGATAGTGTTCACCTGCAGACTGTGTGTAACACACGTAGTATTTAAGTAGTAATGTTCACCTGCGGACTGTGTATAACACACGTTGTATTTAAGTGATGGTGTTCCCCTGCAGACTGTGTGTAACACACGTTGTATTTAAGTGATGGTGTTCCCCTGCAGACTGTGTATAACACACGTTGTATTTAAATGATAGTGTTCCCCTATTGACAGTGTGTAACACACGTTGTATTGAAGTGATGGTGTTCACTTGCGGACTGTGTATATCACACGTTGTATTTAAGTGATAGTGTTCACCTGCGGACTGTGTAAAACAAACGTTGTATTTAAGTGATGGTGTTCACCTGCGGCCTGTGAATAACCCACGTTGTATTTAAGTGATGGTGTTCCCCTGCGAACTATGTTTAACCAACGTTGTATTTAAGTGATAGTGTTCCCCTGCTGACCGTGTGTAACACACGTTGTATTTAAGTAGTAATGTTCACCTGCGGACTGTGTATAACACACGTTGTATTTAAGTGATGGTGTTCCCCTGCAGACTGTGTGTAACACACGTTGTATTTAAGTGATGGTGTTCCCCTGCGAACTGTGTATAACACACGTTGTATTTTAATGATAGTGTTCCCCTATTGACAGTGTGTAACACACGTTGTATTGAAGTGATGGTGTTCACCTGCGGACTGTGTATATCACACGTTGTATTTAAGTGATAGTGTTCACCTGCGGACTGTGTAAAACAAACGTTGTATTTAAGTGATAGTGTTCACCTGCGGACTGTGAATAACCCACGTTGTATTTAAGTGATGGTGTTCCCCTGCGAACTATGTTTAACCCACGTTGTATTTAAGTGATAGTGTTCCCCTGCTGACCGTGTGTAACACACGTTGTATTTAAGTAGTAATGTTCACCTGCGGACTGTGTATAACACACGTTGTATTTAAGTGATGGTGTTCCCCTGCAGACTGTGTGTAACACACGTTGTATTTAAGTGATGGTGTTCCCCTGCGAACTGTGTATAACACAC